GACAAAAGACTATAAACTGACTTACAGAAGGAGTGATAATTTAGAAGTGGTTGGTTATTCTGATTCTGATTTTGCTAAGTGCAAAGATGACAAGAAATCCACTTCAGGGTATATCTTTATGTTAGCTGGCGGACCTATCTCGTGGAAGAGTCATAAGCAAGAGTTGACTGCAACTTCTACAATGATGGCAGAATACATTGCGGTGTACAACGCAACGTGTCATGGGATGTTGCTCAGAAACCTCATAACTGGACTCAAAGTAGTTAATTCTATCTCTCGACCATTGAAGCTTTATTGTGATAACTCAGCCGCCTTTAGTTTCTCGAACAGTAACAGTTCGACTGGCGTTGCTTTATATCTTGATACAAAGTACTTGTTCGTACGTGAGCGAGTTGAGGAAAATAAACTTTGTATTGAGCATATAAGTACTAAGAATATGCTTTCCTCATTGTTTTGTTTGTTTTGTCTCTGAATGTGTCTATGCATGCCTAAAGACATATAGACAACATTTATATACAAAATAAAATGTTATGGGCTTAATTGTCAATTTGATCCTTAGCTTATTTAAGTTTTAAATTTGGTATTGTAGTATGATTAATGGGGGTCTTGAATTGAATATTGATTCAATGACTGTATTTCTCTGCTACAATTTCGGTTTAGAACTAAAATGAGTATTAAAATCTGATCAGACTTATCTAATACTCATCATAAATGATTACTCGGCCAAGTGGGAGAATGTTAGACACGATTTTATTATGTGGCCTGAGTTATCATTTATCTAATTAATTGATCATTGACCTAAAAAATACCCTACGTACTTAATTGGTAATTATTCGATGGACGTAATTACCCTTATGANAATGTTATGGGCTTAATTGTCAATTTGATCCTTAGCTTATTTAAGTTTTAAATTTGGTATTGTAGTATGATTAATGGGGGTCTTGAATTGAATATTGATTCAATGACTGTATTTCTCTGCTACAATTTCGGTTTAGAACTAAAATGAGTATTAAAATCTGATCAGACTTATCTAATACTCATCATAAATGATTACTCGGCCAAGTGGGAGAATGTTAGACACGATTTTATTATGTGGCCTGAGTTATCATTTATCTAATTAATTGATCATTGACCTAAAAAATACCCTACGTACTTAATTGGTAATTATTCGATGGACGTAATTACCCTTATGACCTAATTAGGGTTTCCCATTGGGTGTATATATAGAGGTCATTAGGCAGAGATCACACACCAATCTTACGCCTCCTCTCTGCCTCTCTATTCTCGTGAGTCTTCCTCACCTTAGCCATCATAACGATACACCCTAAACGGGAACTCGATCTGCGTGAGAATCATGGCCTCATCCCTAACCACGTTTACAGGATTACCAGGTACACATGATTAAATCCCTAATTTATATTTTATGTTTAAGAATTGATCAACAACTAAAATATAAAAAAATGTGTAATAAATATATTCTATTATATTATTTAAATTCTAAAGTAATTTTTAGGTATATAAATAAATATAAAGAATTAAAAAAAGTTTATTTTTTCTAAAAAAATATAATTATGCAATACCATTAAACAAATTTGAAAATATAATTCCATACACTAAAAACAAGTAATAAGAAAAAAAATAAAATTTATTAGCTTATTTTTATAACATTATATTTCAAAGTAAACTATATGATTTTGAAAAACTCGTACATTAGCGGGTCGGTCAGGTTGGGTTTGGTTTAGGTCTGGATTTTACCTATTTTTAGTAGGTCATTTCAGGTTTGGTCAACTTCGGGTTCGGCCAACAAAACTTTTGTTCAAAACTCAATATTTTCGGGTCGGGTCCCGAGTCAAAAATAGGTCGGGTCATTTTTTGCCACGTCTAATTGTATAAATAACATAGACTTTCTCAAATCACCAAAGTAATAAACATAAACATATCCTGCGGTTCCTGCTTATACTTTATTTACTTATATAAGGTCAATGTTCTTTTATATGCACCATAGATATATTTAACAAAAGTAATGCTAGAGTCACAAACAAAACACTCACAATTTATCAAAATATACCATAATGATATAGATGCACAAATGGAATTTATAAACTAGGATTTATTACTTATTCTTATTAAAATTAGATCACATCCAATCAAATCAGATCTAAACAAAATTATTATTATTATTATTATTATTATTATTATTATTATTACTACTACTACTACTACTACTACCACCATCATTATAATTGTTATTACTATTGCTAATACTATTACTATTATTATTATTATGATTATGATTATGATTACTATTACTATTGTTATTATTATAACTACTATTATTATTACCTTATTTTTATTATCATTATTGCTATTATTATTTTTTTTTTATTATAATTACTACTACTACTAGTATTACTATTATTATTCTTATGAGTATACTTATTATTACTATTGTTACTATTACTATTACTATTATTATTATTATTATTATTTCTATTATTATTAATATTTCAGTTATTATTACTATTATTATTATTTTTATGACTATAATTATAATTACTATTGTTATTATAATTATTACTATTATTAATACTACTATTACTATTAATATTAAAATTACTATTATTATGATTACCATTATTATTATGATTATTATTACTATTACTATTACTATTAATACTACTATAAATATTATTATTATTGTTATTATAATTATTACTATTATTATTACTATTAATAATAATACTATTATTATTAGTATTATTATTATTATTACGATTATTACTATAATTATTATTATTGTTACTACAATTATTACTGTTATTATTAATATTTCTATTATTATTATTGTTACTATTATTATTATTATGACTATTATTGTTATTATTATTTCTATTATTATTATTATCATTACTATTATTATTATTAGTATTATTATTATTGTAGTTAATATTATTATTACTATTCTTATTCTTATTCTTATTATTATTAATATTATTATTATTTATATTATTATTATCATTACCATTATTAATATTTCTATTATTATTATTACTATTATTATAACTATTATAATAATAATTTTAATTTTAATTAAAATCAAACTTATATCATATCAGATCCAATCAGATCAGGCAAACAGAACACAACGATACTATTACTCCGTAATTTTTTAATACGATGAGTTTTTTTTCTACTATATAATTATTTTTTTCTATCTTATATGATTAATTTATTTATCATTAAAATTATACTTTTAATACAGAGTATGTAATACTTAAACAAAAATATTATATAAAACATACAATATGCATAATTAGAAAATTAAAATATATAGAATTGCTTATTATGTTTGAACTAGAATTTTTTTAGAAATTTAAAAATTTTAGACTACATATGAACTCCTGTGAAGCATTAGATTAAAACCAGTAAAATAATAAAAAAGAATTAAAATTACTACCATAGACTATTTGATAAGTTGAGAGAAGGGGGTGACATTGAGGCCTCTTTATAATTTTTTAAATTTAAAGTGAGACATATTGACCAAACATATGTGGCATTAAAAGTCCACATAACACTTATTAGATAAATTGAGAGAAGGGGGTGACATTGAGGCCTCTTATAATTTTTTAAATTTAAAGTGAGACAAATTGACCAAATAATCTTTCTATTATTGGTTTAAGTCAAACCATCTAATGCAATTATAGTTGGTTTAACTTAGACCAATAATCTTTCTATTATTAATTGTTTATTATTAATAATATTACTATTATTATAACTATTATAAGAATAATTTTAATTGAGACCAATAATCTTTCTATTATTAATAATAGAAAGATTATTGGTCTAAGTCAAACCATCTAATGCAATTATATTATTTTTACTAATATTATAATTGCATGTCAATATAGATGGTTTAAGAGTTAATTGCACCATTATCTTTTATGGCTTGATAATCCTTTCTTGGTGTTATACAAAAAGCATGGGGAAATAGGGTAACTTTTGAAAGCATGAAGAATGATGGTGTATGTTTAGCAAACTCCGTTAAAATCAATGACCTAATTAATAAAATCCTTATTACCATCCCTCCAAACAATGTCTTACACTTTCATATATTGCCTAATAGTCGGTATACACTAAGTCACTTATCATGTATGTTGTGCACATAATAAGTGTCACTTTCCGTCTCCAAAACATTCCCGTCTAATAAATAGAAATGATAAACGTTCATCAAATAAGTCTCACTTTCCTGTCCCCAAAAATGTTCCCCAAACACTCTTCAAATAGAAATGTTCCAACACCCAAACTCTTTATAAAATTTGGAAAAATTATTGGTTTCATCTTTCCAAACCTATTCTTAGATAAACCACACCCTTGTCTCGGTGCAACTTAAAGAAAATATTTCCCACTGATGGGAACATAATTTTCCTTAAAAATTATTTTTCCCGAAAAAATAATTTTCACCCAACCAAACGGACCCTTGTCGAAAACGACAAAGAAATAATTTGAAAAATGTAACAATGATTGAAATTTATTTAAAAGAGACAAATTATGATCTCAAAGCTCCAAGCAGAAAATGATAATACTTTCTTTAACATATGGAGTTCCACAGTTCAACTCGGCTCCATTCATGCCTCAACCGAAGTACTTTTGGTACAGTGACTTGGCAATGGCTAAAGCATCACCTTGAGCGTTCACTGGGTAAAGTTCCGAACCTCTCTGCCAGTCGTTCGAAAATGCGATCCAATCCTTTCGCCATTCCACCACCTTGAATTCCACGTTTTCCTTCAAGCTCTTTGAAAGACGGCCGAAATACATTGAGGCACGTGGCAGATAGTAGCTCTCCACAAGCCCACTCCAATACTTATTAGCTGATGTGCAGCAACCAAGAGAAAAATGATCGATGTTATAGAACATAAACCCAGAAAAAGATGCAATGTAGATGGATGGACCGATGGATGGAAGAAGCTGTGTGTACCAT